TCACCATATTGAAAATGTTTAATATTTCTAATGCAGCACTTACCAAATATGAACATAGAAGACAAATCCACTCTTCCCCCTGGCAAAAAAAAAAAAAAAAAAAAAAAAAAGACCAAAACTGTTAATATTCTTTCTATGGAATACATTTTGGGAATCGGGGATTTATGCTTAGGAATTTAGAAGGCATAAATTATCCAAAACACGGGATAATCTAGGATTTTTTTTTCAAGATGGAGTTTGTGAATCTTTAGGGGGCATGGATATATTGTCAGGGGTCCATAGTTTCTCTGGAGAGTTTTGAAACGAAGTGATTGTAATTATATCCTCCAGATTGTGTTGAACACATACTAACGGGCATTGCTAAGATTGGTTTGTAATTCTCTTAAGTTGATTTAAAAAAACAGGGATAAACTTAAATTGTCGTTTGCTCTAAATGAAGGTCAAATAATGGTAAGGTTGATTGTACAAATAAGGTTTAAAAAAGGGAAGTTGTGAGAGAATAGAACCATCACATGACATACAGTGTTAAAAGCATGTTTTAGATCAGAACAATTCATTCTGTAGCAATTATTTCGACATTTATTAAAATGTTTCAATTTTAAGAAAACATCTTTCATATTACTATAAGTTGAAAGTTGCTCATTTTTATTTTATGGTTTTGTTCATATTATTTTGCATTTTTTTTTGGTGTGTAGATGATAGGACCTGAATTTTCTACCTTGTTTTATGTTTAGTGCATTGTAATTTTTGTAGATTTAAGTAATATTATAATCAAAATAACTGAAAGCCAGGACACAAAAATTAATTATGTGTGGAAACGGTGTTCTAGGATACTTCTATTACATTTATGAAGATGTCATGGCATGATTCTGTTAGGTAACAGGCAGCACTCAGAGAGGAGGAGGGAAGTTCTTTATTTACACCTGGGGGCTTTATACCTGCAGGCCCAGAGAATCTCTCTCTCTCCAAAGTCTGAGCCCCCAGTAATTAGGTAACAGAATATTTATTTTCTAAAACAAGGGGTACAGTCAGCTGGGATACATGAATCAGAGGTGTGGCTTTGAGAGTATTTATCAGCTGTTCCCTGAAATTTTCAGTCTACAGGCTATGTCCTAACTTCAGCTAATCTACAGGTCAGCCTGACATTTTCCACTTCAAAGGTATAATACAGTGTTCTACTTGTGCAGTTAATATTTAAAATTGGTTTGCATTCTGTGGCCCTGTATCTGTTAAATTTACTGTGTGGTCAGGGAAAGTCTGAGAAGTATTAAAAACTCATCATGGATGATATAAACTGTTAAACATCATTGCAGATAAAAAAAAAATCTTGTTGAACTGTTCAAATATGGCAATGTCAGGTTTTGTGGTTTTTCTTCCCAGTCTCTACTGTCTTTTAAAAAAAAAAATTCATACACAAAATACACATTATGCAAAGCTTGATTTCAACTACCACCTAGAAGTGACTCCCAATCTTTATTTCTAGGCCCATTTGCTCACTTGAATTCCTAATGCACACTTCCCGCCATCTGCTACACATTTCTACCAGAATGCTCCATAAATATTTCAAAATCATTCAACCCCAAATTGAAATCTTGTATTCTTGTAGATGAAGGATATTTCTTCCACTTAATTTCTCAAACCCAAAACTCTGAAGCAATCTTCCTCTTTTTTTCCCCTTCACCCTCACATTAGCAGCCAGCGAGTTCAGCTGAGTTTCTCTGCGCCCTTGTCATTGCCTTAGTTCAGTCTTGCACCATTTCTCAGTTAAAGATTGCAATAGCTGTCTACTTGGATTACCTGCTATCACTTCCATGCCAATATAGTTTAAAATAGGAAGATCTTATCTAATCTCACTTGAGAATTCTCAGTTGTCTTGTTTCTGTGTATGTTAGCTGGCCTAGCTTCATTTACTGAGACTTCTGTGTCACGAAGCTATAAATTTATTGGCGTCAAGGGCTCTGCCCCTATCTTTGTGTCTCAGTGTTTAATGAAGTTCCTAATGTGCAACTAGTATGTGTTGTATGATGTTGAATGTTGACAGAGCACCAGAGAGTGACTAAGGGTACAGGATGTGGAATTTGGCAGCTCTAGGCCTAATTTCTGCCTCTGCCAATTACTTAGTTGTTAAGTGACCAAGAGCAAATTAACTTTAACCCAGTGATTCTAAACTCTAGCTACAGTTTAGGCTTAATCAAGGAATTTATTAAAAGGATTCAGATCCTTTCTTCAGCCAAATTAAATAAAAATATGTGGCGGGTGGGGCTCCGGCACTAGAACTTTTCATAGATTTATGATTCTAATATATTTGAGAATCACTGCTTTTAGCTCTAATTTCTCATCTACTATGTTGTATCTATTTTAAAGGAATTTTGAGCATGTGAAATGAAATTGAATTTACCTTAGTGTCTGGCACATATTAATTTCTCAATCTAGATGTAATGTACAACCTTAAATTGTAAACTTTTTTCTCGATAACTATTCCCTAGCTACTCTGCCTTCCTTTCAATTCTCGGAATGTATCAAGATTTTCCATCTGTAATGCCTTCACACTTGCTCTTCACTCTGTTCTGAACAATACCTCTCAATCTTCAAGTCACACTTGAGATCATACACAGTCTCCTGATATTCTACTTTATTCTCCTCTACCATATGGGGATGTTTCGTCCTCATAGCATTTGTTTCAATTTGAAATTAGTTTTTTTAAAATATTTACTCTGTGTATCTCCCACTAGACTTCTCAAGAGCAGAGACTATGTCCATTTTGCTTTCCTCCTGAGGTTCAGTGCCAAATACCTGAGATGTGCTAGATGTTCAGGTGATAGTTGTCAAAGGATGAATGGATAATTAATGATCCATCCTGTAACTTCAAAAAGGCAAAATTCCTGGACTTTTTATGTCTCTCAACTGTATCTATCTATCTATCTATCTCTACATCAAACTCTATAGCACACCCCCAAAAACTAGGGTTTTCTTTTTTTTAATGTTTTTTAATTTGGATAAGAGACAAGTTCAAGATTCTTAGAGGCTTATTGAAAGCTTTGATTACAAAGCTTCCATCAAAACCCAATTATTTGGGCAATAATTGTTAGACTATTTCAATAAGGCAAATAAACACTTGTGGGTGTTTGCATTAGCTAAGATATTTTTGTTTTCCTGTTTACCTTTTGGTCCATTCAGATGGGAGACCAAAGAACCTGTAAGGTTGGTGGAAGAAACTATTCTCAGAAGTCACAGTATTATCAAATTATTGTTATAATTTTTGCCTGTGAAAGTGTTGGGGGGAGAGGGTGTCTTGAATATAAGGGCAATAATCTAGACTAATCCCTCATTTTAGAAATGAAAAAAAAAAAAGCCTGGAAAAATGAATTTATCCAACATGATCATTCACTTGTTTTCAAATCAGGTTTCAAGAATCCTTTATCAGTATTTTATGGACCATATTACACCGACTTCTAAGTAGCCCAAAGTCATTCTGATTTCTCCACGTTTTCAATCAATTCATACCCTGGCATCATTAATTTGAGCTTTGAATGTTTTCCTGATAACAAGAATTTAGTTCAAATTCATGAGCTTCACATTTAGAGCTCACTGTCTTATACATTCTTCCACACTGAAGGCTCTACAATCTATTTTTACAACTCAGAGCTCCCACCAAAATGCGTATCTCCCCATTAATCCTCAACAACCACGGGAAGACGCCATCTTCCAAGAAAACTGAACTCAAACCTAATCAGAAGACAGTGGCTCTTTGTATTTCCTAAAGATTTTGTTTTCTGCCCTGTACTGCAGTAGAAGTGACTGCATTGTTCTTGGTGACACATGGTTCTTGCTTTTTACCCTTTGTCCCTGCTTGCAATCAACAAATATAGAAAGTAAAATAGATACCTCCCTAGGTATTTATTTTTGAAAAGCTGGGCTAGGTGAGGCTTGAGTTTAAATGACTCAGGTTGCTTTAATGTCAGGACATTTTGAAGTTATTGTCTCTTTCTGTGTGCTTTTCTCTTTTGTTAATCCATTCAGTACAATAAGCTTCAGGACTTTTTTTTTATTGTACCATAGTGTAAAAACCTACAGGAGAGACATTTAATAGTCATAGGAAACATTAGAGAAAATAAGAAAGCTTTCCCCCCTAACAATATGACTACTATAGACCCAATTTGTTGCAAATTCAATTTCTCCCTCAACTTTCGGATATAAATGTACCGATAAAAAGATCACAAACAGAATCCAATGTATCGTTTATCAGTTCAAAGTTAAAAAACAAAAACAAAGGAACTTCACCAACTGACACTCTTGCAAAGCTCTTAAGTTTATTCTAGGTCCAAATTTCAGGGAAAACTTTCCTCAGGACCACTGTAACTTGAACACAGCCCTATTATATTACGACTCGGACAGGACAAATAAGGGGTTGTAGGTTCTGCTGCTGTTGTTTTTTATTTGTACTGTAATCCTCTAAAGGTCTCCCGACGAATACTGTTCGACCGCTTTACCTGGTCGAACTTGGGGAACGATTATCAATGAAAACCGCAGAAAATGCTGCGCAGGAGAGGAGAAATATCAATTACCCTCCTCTTCCCGAAGAAGTTAACACTGGGCAGGTAGGGGAAAGGTAGAGAGGAAAGCCAGGTAAGCGCGCGGGTCCGCCCTCCTAGCAGGGGACAGCGGTGGCCGGCGCCGCCCCCTCCCTCCCCGGGCTGCGCTGGAAGCGCCCCGGGCCGCGCCTCCCGGCGGGCGTGCGTGCCTCGCTGCGCGATTCTCTGACACCGCCCTCGGGGTCGGGACACTAGTCACGAGCCCCGACAGCCGGGCCACTCCGCAAACAGCCATCCAGGCCACCTCCCCCCCGACGGCCCACGCCTCCAGCCAGCCAGAATTCCGCGGAGACCGGAAGTCCTTTTGCCCCGGTCAAGTAACCGCGGGCGGTAGGAACCGGAAGCTCTTGTGCCCCGATGCAGGAGCGCGGTCGCGTCGGCCGCGCAGGCGCAGTGTCTCCCGGGCGGAGCTGTGGAAGGGGAGGAGGTGCAGGCGGAGGGGGGCGGGGGCCGGTCTCGGAAGATGGCGGAGGCGGGGGTGAGTTGGGGTCTTCCGGCGCAGTTTGGGTGACTTGGTGCAGAGGGAAGCGGCCCGAGGAAGGGGTGGCCTTCAGGAAGGGAACTCATGCCGGGTTTGTAGCCTCGGAGCTCTGAGGGCAGGTGCGGGATCCTGGACCACAGATGGGGCCTGGAGGGCGGGGGGCTCCGCTCACCTGGAGGAGGGGCTGCGAGGTCGGGGGGGCCCGCGGGGTGCGGCCGAGGCCGGGGAGGCCGAGGCTCCCCGAGCGGTGGAAGCGCGTCCGAACGGAAAGAAAGCCGGAGGACCGCGGCCAGGGCGACCCTGGGGCTCGGCGGGCGGCGGGCGGCGAGCTGTCAGGGCGGACTGTCGGGGCGGCCTGGCCCCCGGGCGGGCCCGGCTCGGGGGTGTCCCTGCAGGGGGGCGTCGTGGCTCAGTTTAGATTCCGCGGAGAGGTCTGTGTATTGGTTTCGGTTGAGGAGTGGGACTTGGGCGTTTTTTGCTGGAATTGGAGACCTTCGCTGCAGGTGTGGGGCAACGAGAATCCTGCCCGTGTTTGCGGGTGGTGTGACTTTGGGGTTGGGCAGTGGGGATCAGCATCTGGGAAAGGGAGACAGTGGATGATGCGAGGGAAAAGGTGTGAGAAAGGCGCTAAACCTTAAATAATAACCAGTTAGTGTTGTGGAAAAAAAGTTGCAGAAGTATGGTGTTAGCGAGATATTCCAGATGGCTGGAGTCTGGATTGACAGCACTAAGGGCTCACTGTTTGTAGGGTTGACGAGGACGTGCTTTAAAGAGGGAACGATCGACTTGACAGCTGGACTCTGAAACTAACTTGGGTCAGTATTGCAGTGAAGCTGAGGATTGCCGGAAGACACGCTCAAGTCCTGAGTTCTGGAGAAATAAAGGCAGATGAGCAGTGGCTACATATGTTTTCAAACTTTGGGGGTTCGATCCTGATAGCGAGCCACTGAGTGAAAAAAAAAGGATCCCCCTTAATAGAGGCCCACAGAAAAATTAACCCTATAGTCTTCTTAGTCTCCTCCTTTCATTCTTACTTTGGGCATTATGTTAAATGGTATGTTTTGGGTCAGAGGTTGATTCTTAAACTGACAGCTGTTGCTTTTATGTATGTTGGGTTGAATGAGAAAGGATAATATACAATAAAGTAGTTTAAAGACAGCTTGTATTTGTTGTTACCAGAAAATTATTCCCAAATGTTAGTAACCTTTTTCAGGACAGAGATTTGACACTTAAAAATAGTATATTATACTGGAATGTGAATGGTACTTGCTTAGTGATTTCTGTATTTGGGTTTTAATATTGAGAGGAAAGATGAGTTGCAGTCTTCGGTGTAAGCACTTTTTCTAGAAGTTTTTAGTGCTCAGAGCCTATGACTTACATTTGTGTGTTTTTATTTAAGGAAAGTTAAACTTTTTCATTGATCTAAGTGTGTTCTCAATGCTTATTCTGAGAATTCTAATCAAGAGAGCATATGATGAGAAAGATGTGCTTTAATAATTTAATTTTATTATTTAGTAACCTATTTGACCTAAGCACTTGAAGAGACAGGGCAATCTGAGGGAACAAACATACTTCTGTAACTGCTACTTATTGAGATATAAGTGATCTTGTTTGATTTTGGGGGTTGTTAAAATTGTTAAACTACAGCTGGCTTCTAAGGTAACAAGGTGATTTTATTTGTATGTTTGTTTTTTTTTTTAATTTTTTTTTTTTTTTTAGAGGCATGTTTTATTTATTTGTTTGCTTGTTTATACATGCACTGGGTACAGTCAGAAGCGCGGGAGGGTGAGAGAATTCACCAGAGCGGGGAGCAGAGCAGGCAGAAAGACCGAAGGACACTGCTGAGGGGAGCAGCGGGCGGCAGGAGGGGTCTGCGCGCCATGTGGGGCCCTCCTCCAGTGGCTGGGGAGCAGCCGGGGATCGAAACAGCGCCGCAGAGGCCGCGGGCAGCTTCGCAACCCAGCGCTCAACCACTGTGCTACCGGGGAGTATGTTTGTTTTTAAACCTGTTGCTGGAAGTGGTTTCAGTTGTAATCATAAACTTTAATTTTTTATCCACAAAGGCCAGAATCACTTATAACCTTCTTTTATTTATGCAAAAGTAATAATATTATTCCGGTAACAGGCAGTCATAAACTTAGAATACTTTTTTTTTTTCCAGTTTTGATGATTGGCTATTGAACTATCCAAACTATTTGAACTGTTTTTCTTTTTTTTAGATTTATTTATTTATATAAGAACTGGGGAACAGGCCAGATGCGGGGGAGGGTGAGAGGATTCACCAGAGACAGAGCGGGACAGAACAGACAGACTGACGAAATACACTACCGAGGGGAGCAGCGGGCGGCAGGAGAGGTCTACACACCATGTGGGATCTTCGCCGGCTGGCCGGCGGGCATTGAACTGGCGGTGTAGAGGGGCAGCTTCACAGCCCAGCGCTCAACTGCTGTGCCACCAGGGGGGCCCTGGTTTTCTTTTTAGGGAGTAATATACCTTATAGAATTCTAGGTCAAGTTTTGTATCAGGTAGAAGTGTTTTCTTTGTCAGGTGTTACAAAAAAGCATTATTTTGGTATTAAGAGTGGGCAATCAGCATTGCTTTAAAAGCTGTTTCTTGTGCAGCAAATTAATTACTTTTGTACAGTGTTTGTAGTTGGAGGCAATGTGGTGAAATGGATAGAAACATTGGACTTGGAGCCAGAGTGCTTGGGGCTAGTCTTGGTGCTACTGGTAATAGTTTTATGATTTCAGAAAGCGATTTAATCTTTTTTATGTTGTAAAATGGAGATTAAAAACAGCTGCCTACATGTCAGGATTCTTGTTGAGGATTCATTGAATTATTGTCCTGTCAGTGGTGTCTTTATACCAGAGTCTTCTTCCCTCATCAGCAAATTATTTCTTGAGTAATTTCAAATACAGATTTAAAAAAAAATTTTGGAAAATAAAATTTATCATTGATGTAGGAGTGATATTTAATGAGATAGGTAGACTGTTTTAAGAAAATAATATCAATACATAATTGAAAAACCAAATTTCAAAGCAAACAAGTTAAGGGATACTTTTTTTTTAACTTTTTTTTTTTTAAAGATTTATTTATTTATGCAAGAACTGGAGTACAGGTCACAGGCATGGGAGGTTGAGAGAATTCACCAGAGACAGAGCAGGGAGCAGAACAGGAAGACGGACCAGAGACACTGCTGAGAGGAGCAGCTGGGGAGGCAGGAGAGGTCTGCCCTGCCCTGCTGGCCGGAATCGAACCCACTCTGCAGAGGCTGCGGACAGCTTCACAGTGTGGTGCTCAACCCGCTGTGCCACCGGGGAGGCCCCAAGTTAAGGGATATTTAATCCAAGAGCTTTCATTTTATAATAACCCACTCCCCTAGTATTTGTTTAATCTTACCAAGATCTTTCATGCCCCTTTCATAATCTGGTCATTTCCAGGCATTTTCTTGATGTGTTTATAGTTTCAGGTTGAAATACAAGTTTTGATCTTGTCACTTCACTTGACCACTTTGGGTCTCATTTACTTTGCTCTTAAAATGAGAGAACCATTAGGTCACTAATTCTTCTTTTGACATAAATTGTGGAACTTTTGTCCCAGAAAAAATGTAACTATACGTGATATTTTTTCTTTCACTTTGCATCGGGCTCTTACACCCCTTGGAATAGATAATCTGGTTTCCTTCTATTTTTAAAATTTAGAATAGTGTGATTCTAATGCATTTTAACACATACTCTTGCTCCTGTAATTAGATACTATCGTATTATTATGGGGTCACAAAATTAGATTTTTCAAATTTAAAAAATTAGCTTTTTAAAAAATCATTCAAACAAACCTCTAACAAGTGTGTTATTTTAAAAGAAATGAGTAGAGTGAAGTCAGAAGCTATAAACAAGCACTGCCGGGAAACATTGAATAAATACCTGTGGCCAAATAAATAATCAGTGTAGAAAGTGTCTAGCAGCCTTGAAATAGAATGAGGACAGAGTCTCTAGCAATCAGTGATTCCCAGGGAGAGCTTTGGTTCTTCAGGGGATATTTGGAAACACATAGAAACATTTTTGGTTGTCTCAAATGGGGGAGGATGGTGTGCACTGACATTTAGTGGACTTCAACCAAGGGATGCTAGGGCAATGCTAAAGGCCATTCCATGCAAGATATTGTTAACCAAAATGCGAGTGTCATTTGACAAATACTGGTGAGTGATTTTAAGACTAGGCTTAGCATAGCGGAAATACCTTTTTAAAACTGAAATTACTTTGCTTTTTTAAAACCATTGTGCAACATAAAATATCCTTTGCTTTAATTTCATTTTGGAAAAAAATCAAAAACACTTGTGATTTACTACAGGAAGTTGAGTTACTTGCTTTGCTGGAGTACATACTTTTTCCTCTAGTAGATGATTTAACAGCAGAAGGGGAGGATGGTTGTAGTGTCTGGAAATTTGGGAAGTGAAGCTCTTGATCTTGTATATAAGCTTGATCTTGTCTATAAGTTATGATTTTATATAGTATGTAAGTTGGCCATATGATTTTTTTTTTCCTTGCTAAAAGTGACCAGAAACATGGCATACCAATACGCAGGGTACTAAAACAGATCAGGTCAGGTCAGGAGATGTTTTCTGAGAATTTTCATTTGGTATTTAGAGTATATTTTTCCCATTCTTCTAAGCCACGGAGCTCTGATATGCTATAGACCAAGTAGGTTTTGAAGACAGAAATCCCCCTTGAGTGTGGCAGAGGGTCAGTAAAAAATTCAGTGCTGTCTAGTGTTTATCCCATAGAATTTACAGGCTGAGTGCTTATAAATATTCTCAGTTTCACACTGATTATTTCTAAAGTCAGTCCCCTCCCCTCCCATTTACCCCTGGGTTTTGTTCCAAAATTCATTTGTAAGATAGTTGAAACTTAAAAACTAAGAGGAAATGTATTTTATATAGTGATGAAGTGCTAGGTTTGCCTTCCAAAAGACCTGTTTAGTACTGTGTAGTTTTATTCAAAAAGACAGCTCAATTTAATTAAACAGCTATGACTATGTAGAGCTCCCACTGTGGCCTGTACTAGTACCTTTGTGGGTACACAGATACAGTGGAGACTTGGTAGTGAATAAGACCCACATAAAAAGTTTATAATCCATAAAGCAACTATACATATCATTATGAGGTAGCTATTAGAAATGACAAACTAAGGTTTTAAATAAACTACTTTGAAATTCAAAGGAAAGATCATTTATGTACCTACTTGTGCGTATACTCAACATATATTACTATTGGGTAGTATAATAGTAAGTTTGAAAAATAATCTTTAGTATATTCTCATTTAAAAAATGTTATTATTCATAGAAAACACAAATAAGAGTAGGTGGCAATTTGGGAGGCTGAACATAATGGCTTTTGGAAAGCTTTTAAGTAAGACTGCTTGGATGTGAATCCGCGCTCAGCTACTTGTAAGCTTGTTAAGTAACTACCTAGTCTTTTCTTTTTTGCCTCACCTGTAAAATGGACATAATAATTGTCCTTACCTGTTAGTGTCCAGGTACATAAAAAAGGACAAACTGAGAACAGTTGCTTATTCATCATCACATTTATTTATTCTAATGTATCTTTTTATTGAGATATCATCGGAGCACCCCCATCAGGTGTTACCACCTGAGTGCACCCACCACCCACTCACTCATATTCCACCACCACAGACCATTATGCTTCCTCTCCTCTTTGTTCTTAGCACCCCCACACCTCCTCCACATAAACACCCTTCCCCGCCTTCTTGTTTCAGTTCTGCCGTCAGCTGTCAAGAGTTTGTTTTTAAGCTTGTCTTTATGTGACTTATTAATTTAGCTACTTTATATTTCACTTATTAGTGACACCACCCAATATTTATCTTTCTTCTTACTTAATTTCACTTAGCATTATCCCTCCGAGATCCACTCATGTTGTCAAAAAGGGCATGAGTTTATCTTTTTTGATAGCTGAGTAGTATATAGCCCTTATAGTATATATACCACATCGTTTTGATCCTTTCATTTGTTTTGGGGCATTTAGGTTGTTTCCATAATTTAGTTATAGTAAGTAGTGCTGTGGCAAACCTGGGAGTGCAAGTTTCCTTTCAAATTAGTTACAACAGGTCATTTTGTTCCACTCTGGAGGTTGTGCTCATGAGCAAGTCACGTTTTATTGTGAATGATACATTTTCAGTAGAGTTTGTTAGTTTTCTATAAAGTATAAAATAGTCCGTTGTAACTATGATGGATCTGGAGAGTTAGATATAAGAAACAGAAATTTGGAATTTTATCTTCCAGATTCTATTGGAAATATGTCAAGATAACTTACTCTGCTTTTTGTTAAAGTGGGACAAGCTGTTTTCACTATTAATCTTCAGGTCACTTAACTCTGTCCTAGTAAATACAAATAGAAAATTTTTAATTACATCATGCATATAAAAATGCTTTTAAACCTCATCTTAGCAAATAACTAATTTAAATGAGTACATAAGGTTATTTCATTATTTGTCCTTTTAAATTAGTATTAAAATCAAGAAATTTGTATAATCAATTATTAGACACACAATTGATTTCTTTTTTCTTATCTCTTGCAGGATTTCTGGTAGGTCCTATTTCAGGACGAGGTGTGGTACTGTTGAAACGCCACTCAATCTACTTTGATTCTACAGACAACTGGCTTTTCAGCTGGGAAACCTTATTTTTTTTTCCTTTGGTGCCTGTTTACTGAACTTATGAAACCATGGCAGAAGGAGAGACAGAATCATCTGGGCCCAAAAGGCGTGGCCCCTATATCTCATCCATCACTAGCCGAAGTGTGAACTTGATGATTCGAGGAGTAGTGCTGTTTTTTATTGGAGTATTTCTTGCATTAGTGTTAAATTTACTTCAGATTCAAAGAAATGTGACACTCTTTCCACCTGATGTGATTGCAAGCATCTTTTCTTCAGCATGGTGGGTACCACCGTGCTGTGGCACAGCTGCAGGTATGTGTAGGTTGTTTCTGTAATGCTTGAGAAAGGAAATAGGGTAAATGAGGGTGAATGTTATCTGAGCAATGCATTTTAAAAAATCGGCTTTGTGGAGGAATAATTTGAATACAGTACAATGTATCTGTCTTAACAGTTTGATGAGTTTAGACAAATGCATTTAGTCATGTAATCACTGCCATCCAGCTGGAGAACATTTCCATCACCTGCACATTCTCTTGTGTTCTCTTGCAATTCATTCTGCAGCCCCAGTGTCAGCCTTGCACTGGTCTTTCTGTCACTAGATTATTCTTGCCTGTTCTAGAATGTAATATAAAGGGAAGCACAGAATAAATACTCTTTACTCTAGAGTAAATCCTAAAAATAATCTTTATTCTCTTTGAGATGAGATCTTCAGCCTTTTAATTCTGCCCTTACCTCAACCCATCTCATATTAGTCTTATTTTAATGATCATCACCACTGTTTAATTTTAAGGGTTTGCCATATATGTTTTGGTCTTGTTTTTGAAGTAGATTAAAAACTTGAAAGGTAGAATAGTTTTATTCAAATTAAATTTTTGTGTTTTAGATTTTTTGTTTATGTTTTCTTTACTTTGTGTCTTGTGAAGTGTATCTGAAGAAAGATACATAAAGAAATCAATTAAGTAGAGCCTCCCTGATAGCGCAAGGGGTTAAGCACAGCACTGTGAAGCTATCCACATCCTCTGCAGCACAAGTTCGGTCTCAGGCAGGCCAGGGAGCTGACCCACATGGCGCAGCAGAACTGTCTCGCCTGCTGCTCCTCTCAGAACTGTATTTCAGTCAGTCTGCCTGTTCTGCAACCCACTCTGTCTCTAGTGAACCCTCTCACCCCCTGCACCTATGGCCTGTATCCCAGTTCTTGTATACATAAATAAATCAAAATCTTAAAAAAAAAAAAAAGAAAAAGAAAAAGATTCTCTTTGCTTATCATCATTAGCCTATTTGTTACTTTAATTCTTTTTTAGGTGGACATTGTGTTGTGGATAAAGTAGAGCATTTCAGAATGACTTGTTGATGCTCAGCTTCCATAATGGATAGCTATTTTTCGCTTTTTCTAATGATTTAGACCAATAGAGTAATAATATTTTATATAATAAAGTTATAGAAAGAAGTCAACAATGTGTGGTAGAAGAGAATCTGATTGAGGGAAAGAATTCCTTGTTTGTCCATTTGTGTCTCTTGCTTAATATACATGAACACCTTGCCATAAAATGTAAATCCTCTTGACTTACATCTAGAGCTGGAGGTCAGAGGGTAAGGAGTTAGGTACAGGACGTTTTGGAATGCACCCGTGAAACCTTCTAGACAATTACATAATTCCATGCGTGGATGGAAGGGCATTGTTGTGTTTGGTTTCAGTGTCATTTATTTAGCGAGGTCTTACCATACAACATTCACAGTAGAAGAGTTGTTAGGGCACTGATTTTTAGTTTCTCCAGGGTGATTAGCATTCTCCCAGAGAATGGGCAAAGTAATGGAGACAAAGAAAAGAAAACACAAATTATATTTTATCATTCTCTGTTGTATCTACTCGCCTTCATCTATTTTCCTTTCTTTAAATTCAAAAGAGAAAAATTAAGTTTTTCCAACATCTTTTTCTAGTTTTTTGTTTATTTTCTCCTATGCTACAGCTGCTGTCTAGCTACTAATCGAAATCTTTTGGGATTTGGAAGAATGTGTCTGTTCAGAATAGATAAAAGGAATGTCTCTTAACTCTGGGGTCTGTAGAGAAACTTTGGGAGTGAGATGTTTGGCATTGTGCCTATTTTGGGGTCATGAGGAAACATGAAGAGAGGAGATCAATGAGTCCTAGGGTTCCCGAAGCCTAGTGACTAGTGCAGCTGGATCATATATCACGTTAGGGAAGGGGAAAGAGGTAGCTGCTTACCTCTTCTCAGGGTGCCTCTTTCAAAGCTTCCTAAGTGCTGGGCTTAGTTGAAATACACTCTTATGTTCCATCCTGGGCAGGGGCAGGAGAACTTGACTGAGGCTTCATTGTACTTACATTATGAAGAGGAGCAGGCGCTGCATCTGTCCCTGGGATGTGGGCATTTTTCTCCAAACTCATATTTAGGATTAAAAATTCCAGTGTTCATACCACATTTTGGTCACTTTGTCTCTGCTTTCTTCCCTTTTCCCAGATACTAGGTTTGTCATACAAACAGAACCTCATACTATTTCATTTAAGGATTTGCATTTACATTTCTGTAAATTTGAGCATATCCTTCCTCCTTGGGTACGAATGTGATGGCTGATGGTGTTATTTGCCTGGTTCCCTAGTGTCTACAGGGTACTGTCTCTCTGGTATGGCTCTTCCCTACTTTTATTGTCCTCAGAGTCTTTCTGGACCCTGAAGTTCCAGCTCTGCCTTAAGGATATACTTTTCAGGTGATACTGAGTCTTCTCCATTGTCAGTGCTTTTCTTTAATTGCTTTCCTGTGATTAGAAAGCTTTTGTACTCTGTTCGTCTGCTGGAACACTCCACCTCAAGAATCACCTGTGAAGCTCTCCCAGTACCCTGCCTCCTTCCTCACATGCTATGAGACGACTGAGCCCCCTCCCCTTGCCCGGGTCGGTTGACAATCCTTGCTACCTCTAGCATTACTGCGTTTTTTTGTTTCTGTGGTCACATTGAAGCTTGCATCATATCTTCCTCTTTTCCGTTTCATATCCCCAGCAACTACCAAGAACTGGACACATTTTGGAGGCTTACCTATTTGTTGAATGAAAACACTGCCTGTGTAGTAATTGTCTATGGGAGTATATCTCCTTCAGTGGTTTTGTTTTTTCAGCCCCATTCCTTGCAAAATTTAACTGTTCCTTTTAGTGCATCACTACTTTAAATGTACTTCCATAAAAAGTGATGACTTAATATTGATGTTTTACAGACTTCTTCTGTTTTTGGCCTTAGTAGACTGTAACTAGCCACTGGGAAATAACTTAAATATATCCCAAGGAGTATGATTTTGCATCAGAGAGCTGGTCTCATTGAGCAGGACTGTGTTTGCCTGTGATTTTACACAGGCATGGTTTTAGCAGTCTCTCTTGTTAAAGCAGAAGAGGAAAAGAAGCCAAGACATACCTTCTACTGAGTTCTCAAAGAGCAGAGCCTTACTGTGCTGTAGATTTTGCTATCAGACTCTGCCATGCTTTTATTTAAAGCAAAGAAAGAAGACATTTAATGGGAAGTGACAAGCTTCTTCGAATTCTCCCTCTCAGTGAGCAACTGAGAACCATGCATACTCAGTGGATTTGATTTTTATTGGCAAATCCCAGGGTTGGCAGCATGGCAGTTTAAATTCCTTTCTTGTATTTTTGCTTTCTCTCCTCAGTTGTCTCTCACTTGCAAGTCTGACATCACATGCATAAAAATATAGTCAATTTTACTTACTTATATCTTTGCACACATATGTCAGTATTCTCTATGTGATAATTCTTTACTTACGGCTTCAGCTGAGGAAAATTGACTTGGAATGTGTATTCTTACTTGATTTTACAGCAAGAAATGGGAGAGAAGAAATAGAGAGTGAAGTGAGATCAAGGAATGACACATGAGTTGTTAGCTTCATGACCCTTTAAGCAGAAAAAAAAGAGATCGTATTCACTTAGATATAGCTCATCTATTTGGCATGTTTATTACCATTTTAATTTTGTAGAGATTTGGAAAGGTGTCAGTTAATCTCACAGGATTTTAGAGTAGACTTTTAAATAGGAATACAGTGTGAAACTTTTAAAGTTACTGATAGCTGTTGGAGCTCTGCATTGCTGACATTTGTGAACCATCTACACTTAGCAGAAGCCTGACTCAAGAGAATGCTTTTAGTTTTGTAGATTGGAAAAGGGCTATAATACTGCAGCATCTCACCCCCAGATGCAAGGGTGCTCACACAGCCATTTTTTAATGCTGCCCCATTGGTCTGCTAAAGTGTGATTTTTGATGTTAATTGATTTTCATTTTTTCTTGGAGATTGAATGCATTTTTGTGAGAGATTGCTAGCCAGTGCTAGCCCAAGGAGGGGCATAACTTGTGGAAGAATGTTTTGGTTCATTAAATAGTCTATTTATTTTTTTATAACAGCATTTAAAATCCTCTCCAAGTGAATAAAACATTGATGTTTGACAGGTATTTAAGTTAAAAATTGTGTGGGAATACTTTGAATCTCAATTATAGATATGTTGCATCCACTTATTGATAATTAAACAGCAATCGCTTCTCGGCCTTTTGGCTAAGATCAAGTGATAATTAAACAGCATTCAAAATGTAGTTCTTTCTAAAAAGTGTAGTTCTTTCTAAAACTAAGAAATGTATTAAAATGCTTTCTTATTTTAATAATGAATGTAAGTTTTTATGAAAAGTATATAATTCTTAATAGTTCATGTTTCCTCTAAATTTTCTATGTGCAGTGTGAATCTACATGTAGATTTCTGTTGTGAGTTTCCCTGCTTTGGCAATCTGACCTAAAATCTCATTAGAAGGCCAGGGTGCAAAAGAGTGTCAGGACACGGCACTAGACACAGGAGCCTGGGACAAGAAGTTACAGGGGCAAGGATGATCTTTGTGACAGGATAGCCATCACATCCAGCATTATGGTGTAGGGTGAGCCTGTTGTACGTGTTTACACTTCTAGCTTCTCTGTAGACTTGTGGAATTTAATAGCATGTTTCATGGTTATATAGCTGTGGGAGAATATTGCTTAACTGTTCACTGGTTTGATGCTTTTCAAGTCTAAGAGATACTGGTAGTAGAGAAGTAGCATGATTCATATAGTCCAATCAGTTAAATTGTGAATCATACACTTAAATAGTGTTTTTATGATTTAGAATACTGATACAACCATTTACAATGCCTTCTTCAGTCATATTATCCTTGTTTCATTTTTTTCCCCCCTTTTAGAAGATAAGTTTAGAAATATAAGCAGTTGATGTTAAGTAAATCGAAGAGCTTTTTTCAAGACTGTCTCAAATGCTTATGGTGGTGGTTGTGACTCTTTTTAGCTTAAGTTTTTCTGGTAGAGCATCGGAGACAACTTAATTTTTTTTCTCTTTTTTTCCACAGCTGTGATTGGGTTATTATACCCCTGCATTGACAGGCATCTAGGAGAGCCACATAAATTTAAAAGAGAGTGGTCCAGTGTAATGCGGTGCGTAGCCGTCTTCGTTGGTATAAATCACGCCAGTGCTGTATCCTTTCCACTGTAATAAAATGCATATTAACAAAGGAACTTCCAACAAACCAAAGGTTAAATAGTCCCTTCCAACTTCACTGTTGTTGATTTCTGATATGCCCACTTAGTCAGAAACAGAATGTGAGCCCTATTGTTGGAACATCACTTAGCAGCTATGCAATTACAATGCAGGGGGTAGGCTTTCCTTTACATTTCCTCCTTTTGATATGACTTGGAAACTTTACACATTAAAAAAAAAAATTAACAAGCTTTTCTTAATTTAGGTTACATAATTACATTCATGTGGTTTCGGTAACTCTAAGATTGAAGCAGATGCATTTTTCAAAGGATTTCTTTCTCTTCTCCCTCTTCATTAAAGGTTTGCCGTTGAGGGTGTGTGGTAACTTGGGGTGCTTGTTGGCTTTGTTTCATTTTTAATTCAAAGAAGCTATAATACATGTTTTTAAAGACAGAAGAAAATTTTTTGCCCTCACTAAGTTTTTATCTTAACATCCTCCCTATTTCCTCTCCTCTTCTCCTTAATCCCACTTTCCTTTATAGAGGATCTGGGAAAGCCTTTTCTAGAAAATAGGGTTTAGAGAGTGAAAGTGGTGGGAACCTTTGGTAGAGTGAACAGCAAGGAGCAGGACTTAGGCTACCCAAGCTTTCCTCTTGTAACTGCGCTGGGCTCGGCTGTCATCTGGAGAGAGGATGGGTCCTGTGGCAAGTAGATTCCTGTGTCTTTAAAAATAATGAGTGCTCTGGACAAGCTGGGGAACAGGAACCAGGGAACGAGGCAAGGTCCTATCTTCAGAAAACAAACTGCTTTTCTGTCCCCAGTTTTGCTGGCCCTTGGAGATCTGTGAACCTGAAAGTCCCTCCGTGGCCATTAGTGGTTTAGTTTTCTCTTTCTGTTCATGTTAAAGAATTTCCCAGTTTGTTAATATTGGTAAAATCTTTTAGATTTTATAATAAGTCTAGTGAGTAAAAGGAATTTAAAAGATAATAGAAGACTAGTTTCTTACTAGAAATTAGGAAAAAATATGATTCCTCATTTGCTTATAAAGATAATAAATGACAACTTGAGAGGCTAGTATTTTGCTAAGTCATTCTTCAAGGCTGTGATAGAGCTGGGACCAGACTGGTGATCCTGACTCAAGTCTGGGAATAGCGCATTCTCCTTCCCGGGATCACACGGTATGTAAATTCCTCTGTATCTTGTGGATTTTTTTTTTTTTAATTTTTTTTTTAAGATTTATTTTTATTTATTTATACAAGCACTGGGTACAGTCAGAAGCGCGGGAGGGTGAGAGAATTCACCAGAGTGGGGACCAGAGCAGGCAGAAGGACCAAAGTACACTGCTGAGGGGAGCAGCAGGCTGGAGGAGAGGTCTGCGCGCCATGTGGGACCCTCCTCCGGTGGCCCGGGAGCAGCCGAGGATCGAACCGGCGCTGCAGAGGCTGCGGGCAGCTTCGCAACCCAGCTATCCCAGACATTTCCACAATTTTTAAGTAAAGAAATTTAAATAGCCTTTTTTAGAACTGAAAAAAAAAATTAAATTCTTTGTTTTGGCCATTCTTTTCATATTCTCTGAATGGAATTCTTAAATACAGCAATCTCAAACTGTTCTGTTGATCCTTTAATCAAAATCCAAAACGTTTACAAAATGTATAACACAGGCTTAATATTAGGTGAGCAGACTTTTTATATGATTATATGGTACTTTTTTAAAGATTGATGTGTTTTACCCGTTTACCCTAGAAGACTCTTAATTTTCCTTCAAACTCTTCATGAAGTTGGGCCTCCCTGGTGGCGCAAGGGGTTAAGCACTGCACTGTGAAGCAATCCACAGCCTCTAGCACAAATTCGATCCCCAGCCTGCCAGGGAGCAATCCACATGGCACAGTAGATCTCTCCTGTCTCACCTGCTGCTCCCCTCAGCAGTGTATTTCAGTCAGTCTGTTTGTTCTGCTCTCCACTCTGTCTCTGGTGGAGCCTCTCACCCCCCGCCCCCGCATCTCTGGCCTGTGCCCCAGCTCTCGTATGCATAAATAAATAAATCTTTAAAAAAAAAAAACAAAAAACTCTTCATGAAGTTAATGTAGTTAGGAAGTATAGAGCCCAGATTACATCAAATTCCACTCTTTACAAGAATGTTTATTGCATAGAGACATCAGAACTCATGACCTTTCTTTGCAATTTTAGGTATAATACCAGTTAAAGAAAAAGAGAAGGTTTTATAGCAAGCATCCCCATAAACTATAGTTTCTTGATAAATCAAGCTTAAAGAAGCAATGATCTTGAGGGAGTGGCCCACAATAACCTCAGATGCTGGGTACTCAGGATACCAGGTGGTTTGGTAGGGGAAGGAGGATGCTGGTAAATATTGGGGTGTTAAAAGAAGTAGGAAGTGGTTATATGTGCATTTTTGATCTTCTGCTCTCCTCTCTTTAGTTGCAGTGTGGCCAGTTAGTTTGGTGAGATATGTAGTCCCCCCTGGGGAGCTGGATATCGAGCCAAGATACGGCCTTTGGGAAATAGATAATGCCCTTTTAATGATACTTGAAATTAATTCCTTTAGTGTAATCCTCTAGCAAAGAAATGAGAAAATTGAATTTGTAAAGCTTCGTTTTGCCCAGAGATTTTGGAGTAGAAAAAGGCTGTGCTTTTGTGAATAGATGCTTAAGTAGGTGACGGAAATAAAATATCATTTGAGCAAACTGTCCTGTACCAGAAAGTCTCAGGCACCAAAAAAAGCTTGGCAGGTTGCAAGATAATGTTCACTTCAAGGCTTTATCCTCAACAAATTAAAACTGGAACAGTTGACATAATAGAAAGGGATACTGTGTCCTTGGTACTCTTGTTTCAGAACTGCATTATTATAAAATGTGTCTGTCAGTAAATCATATAAAGAATGTGGTGCCCTGTTAAATAGCTGTCAACTCTTCTATTTTCAAGTTCCTGTATGATTCTCAAGTAATTCTAAACCTGTGTGAGAAGTAATATTGGTTTCCTTTTTAGCAAAAGTGTATTCCTTTAGCAATATTTGTGTTTGAGGCTTACAGTTATTTTTTTAGCAATGAGGGCATTTCTTAAATAACGTGTCTGATCTTATAATTGCAAATGTGTACAGAGTGCTTTTTTAAAAAGAGAGTACAAGTTGGTGGACTCTGCTAATGAATTATCATGCCTGCTGTGAATCTTTAGTAAATACCAGAGACAGTTTTAATCCCATCTCATCTCATACACTATATTAAAAGACCAAGTGCTCTATAGAATAAGCAATCAGTTCCCTTCTCAACAATAACATCTTTTATTTTAGAAAAATGAACAGGTGATATTATTCGATTGCAAGTTTTAAGATTACTCTTTAACACTGATCTCAGAAAGTGGATTTTGACAACAACATACAGTTGTCTCTCACACTGGCTGCATTATCCATTGGACTGTGGTGGACTTTTGATAGATCTAGAAGTGGTTTTGGCCTTGGAGTAGGAATTGCTTTCTTGGCAACATTGATCACTCAACTGCTAGTCTATAATGGTGTTTACCAGTGAGTATTTCTTTTTGGTGCTTGTTTGTTAAATAATTAAATAATTGAATTCAGAATTGATATTTTAAAATTGGGTTAGCCAGTTTCTTCCAAGAGTAACATCAGTATTATTTTAATAAATGAGTTAAAAATATTTCTGTTGTTCTAGATATACATCTCCAGATTTTCTCTATGTGCGTTCTTGGTTACCATGCATATTTTTTGCTGGAGGCATAACAATGGGAAACATTGGTCGACAACTGGCAATGGTAAGCTAATGCTTGTTTAATCCCTTTTCTATTATTGAGATGCAAGACAAATTCTCTCTACTCTGTAGCCCTTCTTTTAAAGAAAAGAAATTTGTGAACGCACATTCTTTAATTTCTCTTTTGCATTTTTACTGAAATAAACCCTTTGAAAGAATTTAATTGCCAAGTGTATTAAAAGTTGGAGAAGCCACTGGATAGAAACACTAAATATGTTTGCATAAAGCGATATGATTAATTTTCCTTTTTTTTCTTTTTAAGTATGGTTTCCACTCTGTCAAAAAGGGACAATTTTAAAAGTGAAAAGAGTCACTACTAATAACTCTTTTGCTAAAATCAGTATAAATTAAGGCTATCTCTGGCAAATTAAGATGTTCGATCACTTTAGTTAAGAAGAATAATCTCAGTTATCACAGAGAACATGGGTTAGGAGTTAACATTCGGAAGCCAAAGCAGTTTCATGAATAAGTATTATCACTTTTGCCGTTTTCAATAGTTAGGAGGATTGGGTGGTTTATGCTGGTGTCTTTTTGAAAATGTAGCCACCTAATTACCCGAAGCCCTTTATTTTGAATAGATATATATTTTATAATCTTACTTTTAAAATTTTATTTTGATCAGAGGCTTTTGGTAATGTTATAGGTTTTTCTTCTTTAAGTACAAAGTGATTTGAAAAAATATCTGAAATCCTTGTATCAGTCCTTAAATTTATGACATTCCCTTAGCTGACTAGCCTTACTGAGTACTCAGTGCTTTGCTGCCTCTCATGTTCTAGGATTGACCAAATCATATTGTTATAATTTGTTTGTAATAAAGAAACCAGATCTTTTTTCTTGTTTTTGGTTATGCCCCTTTCACTTCTGGAATTTTCTTTTCTTCAATAATCACAGTTGTCATTTAATGCCAATAGTTGTATAATGCTCAAATTCTTTGAAACAGAAAGTGGACGCATATGTTAATAAAGTTTTAATTTTTAGAGTTTTTTACTTTACATAGACCTTTATTCAAAATAAGTCTGCTATTCAAAATCTGTTAACCTTTTGACCTTTTCATTTTTACAGTATGAATGTAAAGTTATCGCAGAAAAATCTCATCAGGAATGAAGAAGGCAAAAATACAGAAAGCAAGATGAAAAGGGTATGCAAATGATAGCTATACCAACAAACTATGGACTGTAAATGATAGCTATACCAACAAACTATGGACTGTAAAATTGCCAGAATGCATTTTTCCCTTGATGGGTACACACACACACACACACACACACACACATACACACACACACTATTGCAATCTGTGATTGCTTTGTCTGTAAATCAGTAGCAAATCTTTATGTATTTGACTTAAATAACTGTAAAATATATATGCACTACATTAAAAAACATTGATTAATAGATAAAATTTTTTAATTGATTTTTTTAAACATGCCATATATTATATCACAATGTTGATGTGCCAAAATATTCTTTTATTGTCATGCGGAATATAAGAATGCTTTGAACAATTTATAAACTTAGTGAAGTAAGAGGAAAACCAAAAAAATAGAAAATAGAAAGCTGATATATTGTCTTTTCCTTACTGTTGTGCCTTTTATTTTTCTAATCACAGCAGTATGAATTATGGGTGCCCTAATGTGTGCTTAGTTTCTATTTTAATATTGTCTCAGAGTTTTGGATGTTTTAATATATGATGAAAATGAACTTCCTTAGAATGTTTTCAAACCTGTTCATCAGTGTAGAGAGTCCAAAGAATAATCTTCTCTTTGACAGATTTTACTTCAAGTAAAAGTGATGAGCACTTTTTTATCAATATTAAATTTTTTTTGAGGCTAAGTCTGGAAGAGTATATATAATTAAAAGTAAGGACCATTGGGGAATTTAAGTAGGATAATTATATGTTTTAGAAATATAAAATAATCATCTGCAGTGCCACAGAGTGTTGTGATATTAACTGTCATTGCAGTACAGTAGCCCACTGCTTTTTAATGAAACACACAAGAAACCCAGAGAAATCAAAATGAAGTTTCTATTTCTGTTGGGTCCTGTTCTTGGATTCAATAAAGAACCACTTTCACTGAACTGAGTCATATGACAACTGACTAGAATGCCATTTGGGGAATGGGTGGGCACATAATTTCTTAATAGTGAATAGTTCCAACCTGTTTAAGAATAGGTCAAAATGGCACATTATGGATATTAAAAATGTTGATAAAACGTTTATGCATATCTTTCCAACAACTAGAGCCATTTAAATATGTTTTAAACATATACTTTTTAAAACTTTTTTCTTCAATTTTATTTTTGAAATTGATGGCAATTGTCTGATACACAAGGGTGAAATCATCTGTGTACTCTGCGTACTCTGGAGTGTCTATGTATGTGTGTGTAGTGTGTATGTGTGTGTGTGTGTGTGTGTGTTGGATTGAGTGAGAGAGCATGAATATGTATATATGTATGCGCATGTGTCCATGCTCTCTTAAAATGTCAATTAGATATTTTTGGTTTTAAAGCCATTGCTGTCAGACTGAGATCTTGTATGCCAAAATTTAATCTGCTTCTATATTTTAAGGCTGCAAGTGTGAAAAATCCTAAGAGGATTTCATATTGAATATATGTATACAATCTTAACTATAGTGGTAGTAAATGTACTACTATAATTTATTGTTCTATCTTCCAGATAATGTTATTCATTTAGAGCAAATAAAGTATATTTTTAGAATCAACTTTGTAAGCACTAGAAATCTTTAATAAGTTATAAGGCCCATATTATGTGTTTACTTTGAAAATTGCTGTTAAAAGCAAGATGTATTAAATATATAATTATCATCCTGGTTAAGAGTCTTTTTTTCTTTCCTGTGGTCAAACCTAGAATGTAGTGCTGAGGATTAATGTAGTAAAATTAATGTGTGTTTGAATTTACCAAGAAATGATGAAAGGAAACTTTTAGTATCATAGAAATTGAATGATTGTTTTAGAGTTATTAAATAATTTTCAGATCATCCATAAAACAAGGAAAGATACTGATGGCCAGCAATAAAATTGTTTTGATATCTTGGAAAATACATAAATATATCACTTTTTTTTTTTGCATTGAAAATGTTAAACATCTTTAACATTACTACATTGGCAGTGCTGCCCAGTTTTTATTATTTAAAGTTGTAGAAATTTAACCATTAAAAACAAACTGCAAAAGCATAGAAAACAATTAAAATCAACTAGCCAGAAACCTGCTAATACTTTTCATTATAAAATTTGTTTGCACTGAACTGTTTTACCTTCGTTAAGGTCATTGGAACTTCTCAGTGGTGCATGCATTTCATACACCTCGTGTTTTCTAGGTGAAATCCAAACTAGGTCAATATCATTAAATGCCTTTGTAATCCTCATGGCTCACTTACCTGCATAATGAAGGATTTTTTTTTGTAAGGTAATTCTTCCAGTTGATGGTCTATGAATCATAGAGTCTTAGCTTTGTGTGCCTGAAAAAGCTTATTTTATTCTTGAAGAACAGTTTAGCAGTCCATAGAATTCTAGGTTTATAGTCTCTCCAACCTCTCCTCCCCTCATCTTGTTGAAGATTTGTAACTCATCTAATGTTGCAAATGGTAAGTGTGCTATTAGTGTAATTTTCTTTCCTTTTGTGGGCAGTTTGTCCATGCCTTCTGGGAGCTTTCACTTGATTTCCTCTTTATTATCAAAGTTACTCAGTTTCACTTTGGTTTGTTTAATTGTAGATATATTTTTGTTTTTCTTGCTTGGCATTCAGTATGCACTTTTCAATCTGTGGGTTCTTTAATTATGGAAAAGTCTTAAGTCTGCCTTCATACTGGAATTATATAGGATTTTGTAGAAATATGTTGATGCCTGGATCCCACCTCCAGAGACTCTGTTATAATTGGTCTGGAGTGGGCCCTAATGATTATTAGGACTTTCATAAGTTTACCAGGTGATTCTGATGTGCAGCCCAAGTTACTGCACACTGGCATGGATTCATATGAAAAAAAGGAGTGGGTTCAGGTGAGAGAAATGAGATAGATGGTAACTTTGAAAATGAAGAACAAATTAAGATACATTTTGGACTATGTTATCTCAACTTGGACTTGAGTGTGAATATTAAGGAAGAGGAAATATCGGAGGTGATTTTTCTTTCTTGAGAAACTAGTTGGATGGTATTTCCATAAACCAAAAAAAGTATACAGAGAAGCTGTGAATGGGTTAAGTTATTAGTTTGATATGTTGAGGTTGAGGTGCATAGGGGATATCTGGTAAAAACAAGTCATAAGCAGTTGATATTTGAGTCTGGGTTATTGGATGTGAATGAGGGAATCATCAAGAGTATGAGAGTAATAAATGAAACTGTGGGTGTGAATGAGATCATCTAGGGAACATGTGATGAGGGAAGAAGAGATCTGAGGCTTACTGGCATGTTGGTAGAGAAGCTGGTGTAGGAGGTAGAGAGTGTGTGGTCTGAAGTAGAAGGAAAAACAAAAGAGTAATGTGGATGAAGCCAAGGAAGGAAGAAGTTTCAGAGGGTAACTGGTAATACGAAGCACATTTGGAAGGGACAGTTAACTGTTAGCGATAAAGAAGATGGTATATTTGATTGTTTCATGTTGAAGAATGGTTTTTCCAACCTATTCTATCTTAACATTTAAGATATATCATTGTATACTAATAGCTTGTAAAATATATTTGAGAGAAACCTGATCATATGCCATATCATTTATTGCAAGTGAGGGGAGCTGGGAGGAAGCTATAGAACTTTGAAAGAATGATAGGGATTTGGATATCATGAAGAATGGACACTGGGACTTACTAGAGATGAAAAAAGAATTTCCTGATGTATTTAAGGCCATCAAGGACCCAGGTGAGGCTAGAGATCAGATATGCAGTGGAGCTAACTGACATGCTTGTGCCATGCCTAAGTAGACTCAGTAGCCCAGGAATTTAAACCAGTTATGGTGGAGTGGATTGATTCTAGTTAGGAATTCATTCATAGATATGGAACAAGACTATGTGAAAAATTAATGGAGGCTCCTAATGCAAGATGAAGAGATTTATTATGGGATCTAGGCACACTGGGGAAAGAAGTTGAATCAGAAATGCTGACCTTACAGCATGAGAGAACTGAGAGAGGTAAAAACCCTGTCTAATGGGAAGGGTGGTGATTTTTAGTCTGAGAGGATTTTAGTGCAATATTTCCAGATCTTGAGGTTTAGATCAAGACAACTTTGATCTGACAACTGTGTTTGCATTGTTGACTGAGATGGGTGGAACTGAACATCATTCTTCATAGTACCTGGAATCATGTCAGGGTCATGTGGAAAAGAAGGGGCTCATCTAGATCCTCGAGACCATTTGAGTGGAGCACTCACCCAGATGCCTTGATTCTACTGGGATTTTAACTGAAAGTTCTTTTTCCCTCCAGTTTTTTTTTTTTTTAAAGATTTCTTTATGTATACAAGAACTGGGGTACAGGCCAGAGGTGTGTGGGGGGGTGAGAGGATTCAGCAGAGACAGAGTGGGGAACAGAACAGGCAGAATGACCAAAATACACTGCTGAGGGGAGCAGCGGGGTGAGACAGGAGAGGTCTGCCATGCCATGTGGGTTGCTCTGCGGCCGGTTGGGGATTGAATTGGCACTGCAGAGGCTGCGGACGGCTTCACAGTGTTGCGCTCAACTGCCTGTGCCACCAGGGAGGCCCAGTTTTTGGTTTTTTTTTTTTTCATCCTAGGTATATATTCTGAAATTTCACCACAGGATGTGGGTCCTTTTCTGCTAATCCCATTCTGTCAAGACATCAAACTGTAGGTCTTTTCTTCCCCGTCTTTACGCTTATGATGCCTTTATTTACCTTCTCTATTATTTTCTTCTAAAATTCCTCTGTTCTGAAGATGTTTGGCCTTTTGTTTGTTTTCTATATATCCTTTAGCTTTTCTCTGTAGTGCTAGATTCTAGAAGAATTACTTAATTGAGTCATCTGACTCAATCTTAATTTGTGTATGTGGGTGTTGTCATTCTTGTATTTTTTGAGGATATTAATTACTCTTCTAAAGTTCTATACTCTTCTTTTTTAAAAAAAGATTTATTTATTTTTATGCAAGAACTGGGGTACAGGCCAGAGGTGCGGGAGGGTGAGAGGACCCACCAGAGATAGAGCGGGGAGCAGAACAGGCAGATGGACCAAAATACACTGCTGAGGCGAGCAGCAGGCGAGACAGGAGAGGTCTGCTGCGCCATGCGAGTATCCCCCTGGCTGGCCAGGAATCAAACGCACGCTGCAGAGGCTGCTGTCCGCAGTTGAGCTTCGCAGCTCTACGCTCAACCCACTGCGCCACCAGGGAGGCCCTAAAGTTCTAAGCTGTTCTTAAGAGCCATTGTAGAAAAGGCAGGAGGAAGAGCCTGCACCAACCTTTCTCTGGATGTGTGCACTTCCCATTTTGGCTTGGGTGCACTGCCATGCTTCTCTGAATTGAGCACTCACATTCACCACTTGTTGTCTGAGGGAAGATATTGTGTTATTTCTGCCCTTTCCAAAGTGAATGAGTAGAGGTTTGGAAGGGATGGCTGGTTGGTTGTTTCCACTGATTCTTCAATGTTTTGAGATGGGATTTCTCTCCATCTATCTACTCTCATGGGGATTCTTCGCACCTGGTCCATGGGTTGGGGAGGGAGGGTATTGTCCATATTTGACAGTATAATTGTGAATTCTTTTTTGTTTTAAAAATCTTTTATTTATTTGTTGGTTACCTCTATGGATAGGAGGGAGAAACCACAGCTTGATGAGTTACTGGCCGGATTCAACCTTCCCCACCACTTTTTATATCACAAAATGCCCGATCCTTAGTCTTTATATTTCAAAAACACAGTTTACTTAGGAACTAAGATACATAGATTGTCAGTTGTTGCTTACTAGGTCTCAATAAAAATTGTGGTATGAATGTTTTCCCCCCTTCATAATACTTTTAGTTCATTGAGTTCATTCATTATGCTAGCAAGTGTAAGTATACTGGTATATCTGTTCCTTTATCCCTCCCTTCTTTTTATCACTGATGGAATCTGTGAAGTCTGTCATCCTTCTTTGTGATTTACAAGACAGACTTTTCCAGGGTATGTCAACGGTTCTGAAGACAATGTTGTTAAGTATCAGATTTGGCAGATCAGATAGATAATGATGTGCCTGGGAGAGACTGGGCTATTGATGAACCTTGTGTCAAAACTGCCATATATGGACAATTTTTCCCTTTCATGATCTCCCTGCTTGCACTTTCTGAGAACAATTTCATGAACAAGGGACATTTTTGATTCCAAATCAAAACTGTGTGCTGGTGCAACTGTGTTTCTATTCTGCTTTCTCATGTGAAGATCTGTAACTGCTGATCATTTTGTGGCTCTACCAAAGGTGGGCTTTAAAAACAATGAGCACTTAAACGTGCAGGCATTTAAAAATACTTTTTAAATTACTGTTCTGAAAACAATAAATTCATTCATACTTTTGTACTTCCATGAAATTGTTCTATTTGTGACATTTGTCTCTGTTTTAGAAATACTTTTGAAGAAATTTATACAGAATGTGATCATGGACCAATTCATTGTGATAAGCAATTAAGTAGACACACACACACAAAAGAGAGCCCAAGTGCTAAATCTGTTTGTTTTAGAAGAAAAGTTTGCGAATATGCGTTCCCTGGGAATTTCTGCCACTGAGTGAGACTCATTTCTATTCCCTTTTTAGTCATCACATGTCACTCCTAGATCATCTGGGAATGTCTGCTTAACCAAAGTATGACAGCAGTTCTATTTTGAAATGGTTCTTTCCCTTTCCATAAAATCTTGAGTTTTTTCAGCAAAATGCGAGCCCATCAACTTAAAAGATCAGCTGGATCCAACAGCTGCTGCGCATAGTCTCTCCACACTCGACTTGGGAAACCTGCAGACTGAATGGATGAAGATGAAACTTAAAGATGTTTGTAGGACAAATCTATGTGGTTTTTTCCTATGCCTTGGACCTAGTATGTGTCAATATCATTCCTGTCTAAGAGGTAGTAAGTCAGTGTATATTGAAGATGAT